AAACAGTAAGAGCCACAGGCAAAAATCCAATGATCCAAATAGAAATCCTGCCAGCAGCTTTAGTATTAAAATTTCTGTGTGATGTATTGTTTAAAAGATTACACTTATTCAGCACTTGACTTTTAATGAAATGATGTCCTCAGGTCAGACGTTGTGAAGAGAGCGTCAGAGAGCGGAAAGGCAGCAGTGGGGGGTCTAACACAAAAGGCAGACGGGCCCCCCAGGCTAAAGAGACGCAACCCACCTGCCAAGATCCTTCACCTTCTCCCTCTGTGAGCTTTGCTAGCTCTGCTGGCCGCCCCCCTGTGCAGCTGGCTAGAAATCACTCCTCCCTTTCAGGAAGTGGAGAGAAGGTACAGGAGGCACTGAACTACGTGTGGAGGGAACAGTGGCTTGGTAGCAAACTTGGGAGAAATGTTCCTGTGTGTGCAATTTCCTTGCTGGAAGGCCAGTATCCCTAGAAGAACTACGACACCCAGGACTGAGGTTAAGCAGAGACCTGTTACATCTGTTGAAAAGAACTTCTTAGTTTTGCTCTCCTTAAATTATTAAACTCTATAGAACCAAATGACAAATTTTAAAAATTAGTACACAAATGCTACGACAGAGTAGAGGGAAGTCTAATTGTAGCTTAGTCTCAGCTTCCTAACCAGTAAAATAGATGACAGTCCATAAAGAAGGTTACATAAAGGAATAGAACATGATATTAACACACATACACATGCACATGTGCACACACATATACATGCATACACATACACATTACATATGCACACATACACACACTATACACAATATACGTGCATACATGCATGGACATGCACATGTACACGTGCACACGTATACACACATATACACATGCATGTATACACAAACATACAATGCACATATATGTAATGTGCGTGCACGTGTGCATAATATATACATGGACATGTGTACACACGTGTATACACACATATACTCATATACATACACAGGTAAATACTTTCATTAATACGTTAGCAAATTGTAATATCCTGTCTTAACATTACCTCCTCATTAATACGAAGCCCCAAGCTTTTTGCATGTTCTCTGTCATCTCGGTGCAATTTTTGATTGTAGTCTAGGTTCTTCTTAAAAACACAGTCATAGAGGGAAATAATTCCTGGCTGGGAATAAAAAGAGAAAGAAAGCCACGGGTTTATTTGCAGGCTGAGCCACTGAGGCCCGCTAGGGCATGGAAGGCAAGACTCTCGCCAGCGGAGACAGAAGCTCACAGCAGTTCCCGACCGTGGAGAGTATGTGGTAGGAAAGGTCACCTCCCCGAGAATCGGCTGTGGCCTAGAGCTGGGAGAAGCCCCACCAGCAGCAGCAGGTTGCTGGGAGGCCCAGGATGGCGCGGGACGTCCCATGGCATTTCCCAGCTCCTCTTTGCTGCCTCCTGGACAGAGGCGGCTCCTCAAGCTCTTTTGCCACCTGACTCAATCGCTACAGGTCAAACTTTGAAGTAATAATAAACTTGTCTCAGTCCGTTCGGGCCGCTATAACAAGTTACTATAGACTGGGTGGCTCATAAGCAGCAGAAATTTATTTCTCACAATTCCAGAGGCTGGAAATCCTAGAGCAAGGCAGCAGCAGATTTAGCGTCTGGTGAGGGTTTGCTCTGTGCATCATAGAGGTGCTGCTTGCTGCATCCTGGCATAGTACAGCCCCCTCGGGCCTCTTTTATAAGGGCACTAAGCACATGTACGAGGCTCTACACTCATGACCTAATCACGTCCCAGGTGCCACACCCGCCTATGCCACCACAGTGCGGCTTGAGTTTCAACATATGAATTTTGAGGCACACAAACATTTAGATCACAGCAAAACTCTCTCTGTGTGTGTTTTCTCCTTCATTTCTACTCTTTTTCGCATTTCTCAAATTTTCTATAATAAGCTTGTGCCGCTTTGAACAATTAACAATACCTGAATACTGGGACAACACAACCCAACAGGAGTTATCCTTTAAGTTGCTAGCTGACAGTCAGGCTGTCTACACGCAAACCCCTCTCTAGAGAGACAAAACTATTTTCTTTACTCATATGTGGTAGCTATAAGACTTCATCATTCATATAAATTTGAGTATTTATATTATACATATACATATATATATATCACATATATAAAACTATACATACACGCACAGCTCTGATGTATTAGAAAATGACCCCATGAATAGAGCTATCATCTATATCTCTATTTTTCATCCTGACTTTTTCTGAATACACAAGTAAAGCTGCCTTGTTTGGCATCTAGTAAAAGAAAAAGGAATTCATGTGTTAAACCTTTCTCACCTTGTAAATTGGGCTTGTCATTTATGTTACTCCAGCTGCCTTAAATCCTCCAGCAGCAAACCCAGACACAAAGTCTTCATGGGATTTAGGAGCTTCGGGTCTCTAATTTATGCTTGGTTGGTTTGGTTTGTTTTTTTCCCCCAAAGAGTGATGCTAGAATGATTTCCTTCAACTGCAGGACACGGAGGTGGAAATAAACAGTGAAAAGGGCCTATAGAGTGTGCTGGGAAACACAGCAATGCCCTTCCACACTGACTGCAGGCACTCGAGCTCCTGGCTTAATGCAGGTTCAGCGGATCCTTTACTGACCGTTCACAGATCATCCGTCACGGGCAACACACCGTGCTCCTGCTGGGGGAGTCTGGAAGATAACTCAGACGTGGCTACTGTCCTCATGCAATTTAACTGTCTAGTAAGAGAAACAACGTGGTCTTTTAGGATGATGAGTTTAAGGTTTGTAAGAATCCCAGAGTCAACATGTGCAGGCCTTTATTCAACCGCTGCTGGAATCCTGGTTTGCGTAAGTTCAGAGTCATTCTTTGTGACCTGAAGGAAGGAAGCAACCTCTCGCCAGGAGCCCTGGCTTCTGCCTCTGTGCCACCACTGGTCATTTAATGTGGTCACAGGCACAAGTTTCTGCTCATCACACTCTCACTCACACAGCTTTGCTGTTCACACTGAGCCGCCCTGGCCTTCCTGAAGGCAGCCTGTGATACAGCCCATGTATGCACAGGGCCAAACAAAAGCCTGAATGAATGGAGAACTGATGAATCATGCAGCATTTAGCACTGTGAAAATTGGCTAGCTGTTTGGGTCTTCGCATCATATTGTAGATAAAAGTAAATTCCGGATGGATTAGAAAAATAAGTGAAAAAGAAAACCCGTAAGGGGCCTCCTACGCACAAAAGCAAAGGGAAGAATGTCACAAAGACAATATCAATCACTTTGATTATGTAAAACTAGACGTTTCCCTACCAAATGAAATGAAAACTTAAACCACTTTAAAACATGATAGAATATTTCAGTGTTTTTTACATACCTAAAGTAGGAAGTCTGTTGATTCAGAAGTTGATTTGCTGCTGGCCTCCAGAGGTTAAGCAAACCTTTCTTGGGTGAGACACCAGACTGGAGGCCCATTAGTAACACCAAGGAAGTTCAAGTACATCCCCACTCGGTGGGGAAGGTGGGGGCAGATCCTGCAGAAGGACACCCTGGCCTCCTGCAAGCCAGACCTTTCCCCTTGAGGTTCAGAGCTACNTTGTGCTATGCGTGAGAAAGAAATAATCTTTTATTATGTTGGGTTTATTATCTGAAGCCCAGTGGTGCACTTGTGTTTAACAACCTGCTTTCTGGAGGAATAAAAGACCCAATTTGTAGTATTTGCTGATTTCTGTGGTATTAATACTCCCACCATGGTCAATTTCAGGCTGCCCACTAAATGCAGAGTGCAGAAGAGATGCTAAGTATCAGCTCCTGTGAGTGGTATAGGCAGGCCTCATCCAGCACACCACTGGTTAAGTCTCTTAGGGTTTAGGATCTGTGTGTTTCCATAGCACATTCAAGCCACCTTGACCAATATGGTAATGAAGCCATGCCTGGGCTACACTCGTTTCCTCTCTGCAGAAGCCAGAGCACTTCCGTCCTCATCTTGAGGCTTTCAGTCTCTCTTTGCCTTTCCAGAGGTGTATGAGCTTATATTTAAAACTGAAAATTCCCAAGGTGATCCAAAATCATTTCCTTTGATTCATAAAGGCCTCATTTTACTTCTGATCAATCCAGAGCATCTCCGTGGTAGTTTAGCACTGTGTGAAGTTTAGTGAGGACATTTTCATTAATTTTAATAGCATTCAGAATTCTATATCTCAGAAGACTGTAGCTTGTCAAGGACATAATGTTAGCTTTAAAAAAAAAAAAAAGAACAAATGCTCAACTATTCTCTTTGGTTTATCTGTGGGAAAGATTCCGCTCCCTCTCTTGGTACATTAGTATCACAAGTTTTAGAAATTTTTTATAACTTTTCAAAGAATCTGAATATTTTACCCTTGAATTGAAGTCCACAGATCTCCTCTCTCTGATCTTGTGTCTGTTTCAAATCGTGATGTGCTCTG